ATGAGAAAAGTTAATAATATACAGAATGAGTCATAAATATCATTATGATAAAAAATGTAAATTATTTCTACTTTGCTCTGAAGTATTGAACTGGCTTTTTTTTTACATAAGAAAATCATTAATGAACGCTTATTGTAATCTTTCACAGGTTCGAGAAAAAAAAAAGAAATGCAGATTTTTATGAATTTAACGTCGAATAACAACGAAAAAAGCTAAGATAACCTGTATTCAAAAATTCAAAGTAATACATAGAGACAAAATTTTCCTTTTTATGTATTCAATCACTTTCGTTATATGATTCATTCTCATCTATAGATGAATTCTTTTAGTAAAACAATGTCGCTTTCTACTTCTATGACCTGTTCTCAAATACAATAAATTGCTCAGAGTTTTACTTCTATGCTTCTATGGAAATTAGCAGTTTGAGAGAGTAAAAATATTTTGAAATTTCGAGATCTCACCAATTGCCCGCAGAGGAATGCATAAGTAAATGAATATGTTGATGTTATTTTATGTCAGTATAAAATGTTACACTACCATAAGAATAATATCATATTTTATACATCATAATGTATTTGTTTTGTTTGTACTGCTTAGTTTCATATATTTTCCTATTGATCACTATTAAAATTTATATTGAATTTTTCTAATATAATGAATAATTCTTTGTTATAGGTTTAGCTCGTTCTGAAGAACTCGAAGAAGCTAAACGTAAATTAGCTGCTAAATTAACTGAAGCTGAAGAACAAGTTGAAGCTGCATTGAATAAATGTAATGCATTAGAAAAAGTTAAAGCTCGTTTACAAGGTGAAGTTGAAGATCTTATGGTTGATGTTGAACGTGCTAATGCTAGTAAGTTAATTTTAAAAATTATTTCATATAACAAAAAAGAAAAACCTTTGTTTTCTTTTTCTTTTATTAAGATGCTTCGGCTATGGATAAGAAACAAAAACAATTTGATAAATTAATTAATGAATGGAGACAAAAATGTGAAGATATTACAGTTGAATTAGAAGCATCACAAAAAGAAGCACGTCATTATTCAACTGAATTATTTAAACTTAAAACACAATATGAAGAATCACAAGAACAAATTGAAGCACTTCGTAAAGAAAATAAGAACTTAGCTGAAGAAATTAAAGTATGAACAAAATAAAAATAAAACAAATGAATTCATCGTAAAAAATGAAATTCTCCTGTGTTTTTGTTTTTAAGGATCTTATGGATCAATTAGGTGAAGGTGGAAAGAGCATTCATGAATTAGATAAAGCTCGTAAACGTGCTGAATTAGAAAAAGAAGAATTACAAGCTGCTTTAGAAGAAGCTGAATCAGCACTTGAACAAGAAGAATCTAAAGTTCTTCGTGTACAAATGGAATTAAGTACAGTACGTCAAGAAATTGATCGTCGTATACATGAAAAAGAAGAAGAATTTGAAAATACACGTCGTAATCATGCACGTGCACTTGAATCAATGCAAGCTAGTTTAGAAGCTGAAACACGTTCAAAAGCTGAAGCACTTAAACAAGTACGATGAAATTTTAAATTCAATTTTTAATTTTTAATTATTTTGTTTTCTTTTCTTTTTCTAGAAAAAGAAACTTGAATCGGATATAAATGAACTTGAAGTAGCTCTTGATCATGCAAATCGTAGTAATTCAGATTTACAAAAAACACTCAAAAAAATACAAATAACAGTTACTGAATTACAAACACAAATTGAAGACGAACAACGACAACGTGATGAAGCTCGAGAAGCTGCTGCTGCTGCCGAACGTCGTGCTAATCTTATTGTTGGTGAACTTGAAGAATTACGTACTGCTTTAGAACAAGCTGAACGTGCACGTAGAGCAGCTGAAAATGAATTACATGATGCAGCTGATCGTATCAGTGAAATAAGTACAATAAATGCTAATTTATCATCACAACGACGACAACTTGAATCAACTGTTGCTGCTATGCAAGCTGATTTAGATGAAGCTGTTGCTGAACTTAAAAATAGCGAAGAACGTTCGAAGAGAGCTGGTGAGATATTTTGTTTTTGTTTTGTGTGTTTTCTTAAAATAGCGATGCATCAATTCTTTGACGGTAGTTTCAAAAATGATACTTTTTTAGTATTGAAAATCTATTGTCCTGTTAACTGTTTATAATAGTTGTGCTCAGTTTTGATCGTTCGATCCAAAGCAATTACTAGATGCTATCGATCATTAAAAAAAAGTTTCAAAATCGGTCGAAATTCATGAGTTTTAAGGCAAAATCCGACCAATTCGGTAACCCTTTTTTTTTATATTCAGAGAAATCAAAGCATAGTATTGAATAGAGCATTTAAAGTTGATCATTGACAGAAACTTGTAGTTCTGAATATGGGAAATATGTTATCTATGGATACGAGTGCACCTATCTCCTGAAATTTCAACTCAATAATAAAGTATCGGTAGTATCAACAACCTACAGATTCATGTTAACCCTTTAGGGATGGTTGGCCCCCTAAAGGGCCATGGTGATTCTCTAGCATTTCAAAACACACAGATTCCTATATGAGATTAGTTTTCGTGAAAGCATTTATCAGAGAGTTTTTTGGTATAATTTGGATTGTAATTAGGTTATTTTATTCAGATATCCACTAATGGATAATAAGTTCTTTTAGAATATAGAAATGTTGATTGATTTATGATGAAATATACAGAAAAAAAACCCGTCTCCAAAGGGTTAATTAGTCGGTACACCAATAGTCGAGTTCCCAAAGTTTGCGCCTTTCATATAGAGTTTTGATCAAAATAAATAATAAGCTGTATGTTCACTGTTCACTAGTAGTTAATAGAGTGTGCGTGCCCATGTGTAGGTACTAAGGTCTGTGAAGAGAAGACCTACACCCACAACCTATATGAAGAAACCGACGAAGAGCTACAACATATGATTGCTAATTTTTTTTTATATATGATAATCTTTCACGTTCATAATCTATCGAAGGTCCTCTGTCGTGTCATCCTATTGTTCGTATGGATCATGATCAACTTCAAATGTTCTATTTGATGATCAAATTTGAAACTTTTTTTTAATATAGATTTTGATTACTTAAAAAAAAAACATATCATCTTTGAAACCACCGATCAAAAAATTGGTGCACGTCTAAGAAAAAAAAAAGAGATGATTTTTATTTCTATTAAAAAAATTTTGTTTTTGTTTTTTTAGCTGCTGATGCTGCTCGTCTTGCTGAAGAATTACGTCAAGAACAAGAACATGCACTACAAGTTGAACGACTTCGAAAAAGTCTTGAACAACAAATTAAAGATCTTCAAACACGTCTTGATGAAGCCGAAGCTAATGCACTTAAAGGTGGAAAACGTATTATTATGAAACTTGAACAACGTGTATGTAGACATTAAAAAAACAAATAAAGGACTTATTTTTGATAATTTAGATTCATGAATTGGAAAGTGAAACTGAATTAGAACAACATCGTCATCAAGAAACATTGAAAGAATTACGTAAGAATGATCGACGATTAAAAGAATTAGCATTTCAAGTTGAAGAAGATCGTAAAAATCAATTACGTTTACAAGATCTTTCAGAAAAATTACAAAGCAAAATTAAAATTTATAAACGACAAGTTGAAGAAGCTGGTTTGTATTACGATTTTTTTTGTGCCTTCTTTTATTTGAATACGAAAACAAAAAAAAATTTTCTTTTTTCTTTTAGAGGAAATTGCCGCACTCAATTTGGCTAAATATCGTAAAGTTCAAACTGAACTCGGTAAGAAATAAATAGAATAAATTTATTAGAATTTTATTTTATTATTTTATAGAGGATTCAGCTGAACGTGCTGACGTTGCTGAAAGTCAATTAGGCAAATTACGTGCTAAGAATCGTTCAACTGTTAGTATTAGCCGTGCTTCACCAGGTGTAAGTGAATATTACAAATAAAAACAAACTTTTTTTTCAAATGAATTTGTTCATTTTAGCGTGAAATACGAGAATCAACTATTACTCGATCTGCATCAATAATGCGCTCTAGCTCGGTCCGTCCTCGTTAAGATTAAAATACAACACAACATCAAGGGAATATATATGTGCATGCGTGTGCTTTTATTTCCTTTCTTTTTTTTTCTAAATGAGCTACCTGAAGTCTAGTTGTTTATTTGTCTATCTATATATTCTTTTTTTTTCTTAATTCATTAATATTATGTAGACTGTCAATATGTTGTATTGTCTGTTTGTCTCTATACACAAAAAAAAATTTATTTGAAAAACAAAAATATCTAATAAAAATAAAGAATGATTAGAAAATGAGATTTTTTTTTACACCTCAAGATGAATTAAATTTAGATTTCGTAATGAACGTTTATTTTCGTCAAAGATTGTATCCATTTTAATATCCCATTTTTGTTTTTCTTCATTCAATCGTGTAAGAATATTGTTAAAGCCAATATCAATTAAATTTTCAAATGATGTTTCTAAATTTGAAATTTTTCCATCTAACATTTGAATATGTGCATCTTTATCTCGTTGCATTTTTTCATATTGAATACGTTGTTGTGTAAGTTCTTGATCTGTCAGATGTAAACGTGTTTTTGTTGAACCTAATTCCATTTCAAGTTGTGTTATTTTGAAACCTAATTCCATTTGCATTGTTTTATATTGTTGTGTTAAACCAGATGAAACAGCTTTCATATCACTTTGTAATTCTTCAATATTTGCTTGTGCTGTATGCATTTGTTCACGATAATTATCAGCTATAGCAAGTGAACGACGTGATAATTCACGTCGGTAAGCCATTTGATCTTTAAGTGCATCAACTTCATGTTGACTTTGTTTAATTTTAACCTCCATTTCACTGTCATCACCACCCTTTTTCTTTTTACCTTTGCCTTTCTTTTTTGGAGGCATCTTTATTTTATTTTTTTATCTAGAATGACAATAAAACATTGAAGCTTTTTCTATATTCCACAGAGCAAAAAATAGAAAAAAAGATTAACAATATGAGTATTTTTATTAAAATTTCTACTTAAAACGTTCATCTTGTTCTTGTCCTCGTGATGTTTCAACAATAACTTTTTTCAAAAAATCTACAAATGTTTGTTTAATAGTTTCGATTTCATCTGCTTTGCCATTAAATGTAATACGAGGAATATCAGAAAAGAGAGTAGCTAAAAAACAAGAAAACTTTGCAATTATTCATTACAAAGACAAAATTTCTAAATATCTTACATAATTTTGCTTCATGACCACTTCTACCATCTTCTTCATCTTGATTTTTTCTCGATGCAACAAGTAAACAACATTTTTCAGTTAGATTTGGTTTTTCAACAAAATTATTATACCTAATAAAAGAATAAATAATAAATTCGATAGAGATATATGCGTGATTTCTCTTTGTTTAATACCAAAGATTAAGTTCTTCAGCATGTTTTTTATCGTCGGGATCATAAACAAAAATTGTTCCATTTAGTTTATAACTCATTGCAGGCCATGTATGTTCAAATCTATGTATAAAAAATATGAATTGTAGTTCATTTATCTATTTACATATACGTACTTAGTATCTCCACTGCAATCAAAAATATGTACATTCCAAGTTTCCGATCTACCTCGAGTTGTTGATGGTGCTTCATATTCAATAATACTTTAATAAATATAATGATATATTGAAAAATTTAATTGAAAATATTCTAAAACTTACCGAACAGGAACTGTTGGAATATAGGTTTCTGTAAAACTCTCGCGTGTTTCAGTAGCAAAATTTATAAATGAACTTTTACCACTCTTTAGAAAAACAAAAGAATATAAAGATTTATATTTTAAATATAGAAGAAAATCATATTCTTACAGCGAGTGGACCAACAACAGCAATTTTTATCGTAGGAGCTGGCATTTTATAATCAATATGATTGACTCAAACAGTATAGACATTGTTCATTTACTTGTTAGTGTGGTTGTCATGGAAAATGCTTTTCAAATAAAATTATTAACGAGATATTTATTAAATTATTGTTCAAAAGAAAACCAAATGAAATAAATTTAAATTACAAAGAAATACAAAGTATTCATTTTAAAAATTTAATGAAATAGATGTCGTTGCTAAAAGGTCAATGGGAAAGAATTGAAAACCGGTTGAGATAAGCTACATACATGTTGATGTACATACACTTTTTCACCATTGCATTAAAATGAAACGTACTGCCTCTTTAAATTAGAAAGAGGACATTAAATAACAGTGATTGTATAGATATACTCCTATATGTTCTGACTCGAAGAAAAAAAATGCATCGATTGTTTGGTCATTCTGATTGCATTATGATGCGATTGAAATTATAACATGAGTAATTAGATATAAAACATCAGATACATATATATATATGACTCTGTGCGAAGACTCTTCTGTCAAAATTTATCACGAATTTGAAAAAGTTAGACTTATTTATATTTGAATGAAAAAGGTAATAAATGACATCATTTCTTTATTGTTGCAAAAATTTAAAAAAAAATTAAACAAATGCGATATCGTGATTTAAAACAGTTTTTCTAATAAAGACATATATTTGAAATCTATTGAGTACAGTTTCTTTGATTTTGTGTAAATTATTCATAATTATTTTTCCAAACATAATACTTTATGATATTCACAATTTTTAGAGTTGTGGTTTCCTTTGAAGATGTAATCGATTTTTTATAATGTTTTAGTAAAAAATGAAATTTAAAAAATATCTACCTGAAATTTTTTGCAAAGGCTACTGTTGAAACATTCGATTTCGATTAGTTTTTATCTATTAAAAGGTTTGAATGACTTATTGATGTGGTTAGTGCACAAATTATTAATCTAGGAATACTTTAAGAATACTTTGTTTTGTATGCCGCGAGTGAAACAATTTCTTTTTATGTAAGTATTTTACTGAACATCACTGTTCCAAATCTCAAATGGCGATTGCCCTTTGTAAAATTTAAAAACCTTGGGTGAAGTGAAAAAGAAAAGAAGTGTCCTATTTGTTAACTCTTGATGTAGATATCAAAGACGCTCATAGGACCACTTTTTGTACCTTACTCTGATAATCTCTAAAGATCATGGTACTCTACAAAGTCTGTATACAACTTTTGTTCAATATTTTGCACTGCTTGCTTCATTTATTTACTATTTCTATCGTCATCATACATGATGATGTATATTTTTATGAAAAACAAATTCTAAATACTATCGCTATGTTTTTTATTCTGTTTTTATTTGTTCTCTTTCTGAGACTCAAAAAATGAGATCCTTAAAAATGCTAAGCTGATAAAATTTGGAGAGTATATCTCAAATTCTATAAATAAGGAGTTTTAACCAATATGATACAACTATGAAGATCTATATGGAATAGTAATTTCTTGTTTTATTATTCTTGTAGATATTTTAAATTTTCCAAGATCGAATTATATGTGATTTCTTCTATCTGTCATCGACTAACTTGAATATCAATTGGCGAGAAAATTGAGCGAAGCAGCACGTAGACAATAATTTTTTCATTTTCTGTTATTGGTCTAAGCCTTTTTTCATTATTTTAATGGAATCGAACATTTTCTTCTTGAATAGAATATTCATTTATGCAATATCGTATTAGTTTTTGATGCATTGGCTACACATATATTATTTGTACATATCAAATATGTTTTATATAGTTTTATTGGAATAAATAATGATAAATATTACAAAAAAAATGAAAAATAAAGTATTAACTATATAAGAAGAGAAAAGAAGAGAGGTTGCGAGAATATAAATGAAGGAAGTGATTTAGATTTTTAAAAAAGCGGAGAAAACTAGCTATTACAAATTGTTCACGAGTTTCGATGATGAATGACATTGTTTCACTTGTAAACGTATGATGCTGGTTTTGTATCATCGATCCTACAAAGAAAATAAAGCACTTAGTATAATCCTTACTGGATTAAAATCAACACTAAATCTTTACAACATACCTGATTTACACATCTTATTCGAATATGCTTCTCGTTTCAAACAAACGATGATAAGTTTTTGCCATTTCAAAAATATGTTAAGCATAAAGAACTAACTATGACAAACATTCAAATATTTTCTTCCATCCACTGCGGAGACTTTTAGTTGATAGTATTTTTAGGAAACGTACGATCGACAAATAATGCATATCAAAAAATTATTCAGATATTTTGTTCAACTTAGAAAAACCGATTTGCAGTTCATTATATCATTGAACAACACACCATCAAGGAATGACTAATATCAAACAATTATTCAAATATTGTTTTCAATTCAGAGCAAACGTTTGTAGGTCATCTTGTGATCAAGGAATAATCCATCAAGAGAATAACTCAGATAAAACAACTATTCAAATATGTTGTTCAATTCAGAGCAAAAGTTTGTAGGTCATTTTGTGATCAAGGAATAATCCATCAAGAGAATAATTCACATGAGACAACTATTCAAATATTTTGTTCAATTCTAAGGACAGATTTCTAGTTGCTGAAATGACCAAGGTACACTCGATCAAGAAACAATTTATAAGAACAATTATTCAACTATTTTGTTCAATTCCAAGGAAAGATTTTCAGTTGATGAAATGATTCAGGTACACTCGATCAAGAAACAATTTATATCAACATTTATTCAAATATGTTGTTCAATTCTAAGAAAAGATTTTTACTTGGTGAAATGACCCAGGTACACTCGATCAAGGAATAATTTATACGAATCACCTGTTCAAATAGTTTCTTCAATTCGAAGGAAATATGTATTGTTCGTTGTATGAAGCAGGAACAGTCGATCATGGAATATTTCTGATCAAACAGCTATTGGGATATTTAGTTCAATTGGAAGCAAAGATTTGAAGGTGATGATATCATTGAGGAATGCTGAATCAAAGAATGAATGATATCAAACAGCTGTTCAGATGCTTTATTGAATTTGAAGGAAAGATGCGGGTGAATAATTCTTCGGGGAACAGTCGGTCAAAGAATAATTCATACGAAACAGCTACGCGAATATATTGTTCTATTGATAGCAAAGATTTCTAGTTGATTGTATCGTGGAGGAACACTAGATGAACGCATAGGCCATATAAAGTATCTGTTCAAGTATTTTGTTAAATTCAGATCAAAGATTATCGGTTGAATCTATCGGCAATACTATGACTTAAAACTTCATGGTAAACGAAGAATTGGTAAGCTTGGCCATTATATAACGTATAAAGTGTTCAACATCTGCATCTTTACGTGATTCCAGTGAAGCCATACACATTGTTTCCATCAACATAAAAACAACCATGAAGCAAACTATTTGCGTCAATGCCTTCATTGGTGGTTGTTGTTTTTGGACGCTTTATGAAAAAATGGTAGATTAGTGTAAAAAAGTGATCAAATGATATGATCGCACAGTTGTACTTCGACTTTATATACTCGTTGATTGCCTAGCAAGGAGAAATTGGCAAAAAAAGATTTTCTTTTTCTTTTCACGCATCGCAAGAGAGATAGATTCATTTTTTGCAAACAAAGTATGTTTTTTTTTCTCGTAGGCAACGGTGTATACTGTCGTCAATACAAAACAAAATCATGCATATATTTTCATAGTGACGTCTTTGTATGCATTCAAATAGTCCTTTTCTCCTTTTTTTTTTCTATTCTCATGTGACAATGAATGATAAAAATAAACAACTATTTAGTCAGCGATTATACATCTATGACATTTATTTAGTAATCAAACATATTTTTTTACTGTCCAAGAAAAGGCATCTCTTATTCAATGAATAATATTCCTGAGAAAATCAGGATTATTTTTAATTATCTTGTTGATTGCCTAGCAAGGAGAAATTTGCAAAAAAATATTTTCTTTTTCTTTTCATGTATGACGAGAGAGATAGATTCATTTTTTGCAAGTAAAGAGTGTTTTTTTTTCTCATAGACAATGGTGCATATCGTCGGCAGTGCAAAGTAAAACCATGCATATATTTTCATAGTGACGTCTTTGTATGCATGCAAATAGTCTTTCTCTCCTTTTTTTCTGTTCTCATGTGAAAATAAATGATAAAAAAAAAAGAATCGTTTAATCAACGATTATACATCTACGACATTTATTTACTCATCGAACATTCTTCTTTACTGTCCAAAAATAGGCCATCTCTTATTCAATGAAAAATATATCTGAGAAAATATGAATTATTTTTGATTATCCATCTATAAACCTAATTTTTCCTATGAGACTCCCGCATTTTGCATGATAATCCTATTAAAATCAATTGAAAAAATAATCCACTACATCCATTACTCTTGATTATCTCAGTGGTAATTTGATTTTAATCGTTAATCGATTTTAATCTGTTCAATCAATTTTCAAGATGTTGGGGAGTATTAGGAAGGTCGATGGAGAATCGAACGATTTGTACTGATATGAGTCATTTTGGTCGAAGTATTAATCGTTAATATAATCACAGTAGATAAAAAAGTCATGTAATATTTATTAGAACGGAAGTTCTAGAACGAATACGATATACATGATTATGAACAATATAAGTGCTTTTTCCAAAACGAATTTTACACAATCATTACTGCTAACGATAATTAATCATACGTAAGATCATTATCTAGTCTCGCTTCATTATATCAATATAATGAAGATAAAATCCATAGATTATTTATAATTTTCGGATTCTATTTTGAATGAATGAAGCATCATATCAAAAATCCCATAAAATTTGTATCATATAGAGATCTCAACGTCTCTAATGATGTTTCAACGAGCATCAAATGATGTTCCATTCTCGAGATCATCGTGTCACAAAATATGGACTTTGGATAAAGAATTCGTGGAAGAAGAAAAGTCTCGACCGATTACTATAAGATGCTTCGCATTTTAGTAAATTTCTGATCGTT